ATCTATCTATCTATCTATCTATCTATCTATCTATCTATCTATCTATCTATCTATACTGTATCCATGATGGTTTCTTTGAATGTACCCAAATTTTCTACCTTAAAACTTAATCTTCAAGATGATAATGCATTGAATTAGGTCCTTTAGAACAAGAATAGGCCTCAGGGATTTGTGTCAGGACTCAGATGTATGTTCACATGAAGGGAGTTTCCAAGAGCAGCCTCTTCTTCCACTCTGATCTGTGATGATGCAACAGTCTCCTCTTCCCTTCCAGACATTGTAGTCATGCAAGGGTAAGCCTTTACATACACTGAAGAAACTGGCACCTTAGCAGCCTCAACACCATATCTGTGAGAAAAAAAAAGACTCCTGGATTTGATTAGGTATTCTCTGTGGCAGACTGGATTGGACTGTCTGATATATATGGGCTGAATAGGTTCTGTATATTTGAAAGAAAAAAGAAGCCATGGATAAAAAAAAAAAAAAAAAAAAAAAAAAAAAAGCAAGAGGCAGGGTATATCAGCATGGTTGGAGGGAGAAAAAAAAAGAAGATGAAATAAATATATTTTAACTTAAAATTTTTTTTAATGCCCTCAAATGTGTGATCAGCTTTGAGGTAGGCAATGGTAGAAGCTGGACCATACAGGGATATTTGAGAAAGACAGAAACTTTGTGGAAATCCTCACTCTTCTTGAATTTTGAATGAGAGATTGTAGTCACAATATTGAAAAAAATAGACACAAGAAAAGCAGTTCTAAGGTCTCAGATACAAATAAAAAGCACAGTACTGGAAACTGGCCAAGCAGCCATTTTTATTATTACATGACAAAAACAAACAAACAAACAAAACAAACAAACAAAAAACTTGGCCAAATTGTGTCTGTGTTCTAGAGCTGAAGAGGGATGTATGAGCAATGAAATTTGAGTTTTTGGAAGAAGAAATGTCTAAGAAATTTTAAGTGTTCTATATGGCTTCCCTTGGTTGCTTACTGGAATCTGTGAGAGAAGAGAAATGAATTAAGGATGGGATTTATAGTAGAAAGGGATGCGGAACCCAAAGATTTAGAAAAAGTTCAGGCTCATCAAGTGATAAATAATGAAGAGGAGTGTTCATGTGGGAGGAACAAAGGTATCAAGTGAGAACTTGATAAAGAAATTAGTATAGCCATAGGGAAGGCAGAAGCTATTTATCAAGACAGTGGAAGAATGACTTCCAAAGCATATTGCTATGCTGAAGACCACTGCTTGGTAAGACCTTGAGTACAAAACGGTTTAGGGAAGTTGTGAGGATGTAGGTTTGTTACCTAGCTCAACCTTTGACATACGATATTTGAATGTAGTGCTAATTGGTTGTCATAGTTATGACCTATGCTGTTTCTAGAACAACCCCTTTGGAACACTGAAACCATAAAGGTGGCCCATGTCCAAGAGAAGTTCACTCAGTATTTATGAAAAAGGCATGGGCTCTTGGCACAATCTACTTCCACCTGATTTTAAAGGATGCTCCTAGAAGTTTTAGGAACTAGACGGAGAACTGCCACACAGGTAGGCCATTGCTGAGAGTCCCTGCAACTGCAGAGAATAATGAAGCCAAAGGAGCAGGTTCCGTACCTGCAGGGCCACTGTTTGCTGTGCCACGCTGGGAAAGCTGTAGCAGTTCAAGCCCAAAGAAGAGGAATTCTGTGGAGGCTGTGCTTTCACAGAAGAAAATATAGAGTCAGTTTCCATTTAGTTCATTAGAAATACACTATCTGTGCTCGTGCATACACAGGAGGCATAAACTCAGATTATACTAAGCCCTATGTCTTAGGTTTGTAATTAATTGGTTGACTTTAATTAGTATACAAAGTATTGGTTCTCATTATAACCTTCTCAAATAAAAGGTGTTCTAGTTGACTATCCCTTCCCTCTCATCTGCCGTAGCCCTCTTCTAGTCCTCCTTCTGCTTTCAGGTCACGTGGTGGTTTGAAGGAGACACATCCCTCAATAGGGTTGCACATTTAAACTGTTGCTCTCTGATTCTTGGTATGACTGTGGAGGAGGTGCAGCCTTACTAGAGGCTGGGATAGGATTTGGGAGATTTTTAACTTTGTTCTATTCCAGTTTACTTTCTCTGCCTTGTGTTTGCAGTCGAATATGTAATTTTTAAGCTGGGCTCCTGTTGCCATGTCCTCTGCTCCAATTATGCGATTCCCCCTCTTGAATGCTAAGCACAAACCCTTTTATTCATGAGTTGATTTGGGCCATGGTGCTATATCACAGAAACAAAAAGTATCTAATACAGGTCAGATATATGTTATTTGACCTCTGCTATCTGTCCTTTACCCCACTGTGGTCTTCCTTTTACCTTCAAATCACACACACACACACACACACACACACACACACACACACAGAGAGAGAGATGTACCTTAAAAGTTAGTATCTTTATATGAGAGAAAATACATGATTTTTATCTTTCTTAGCCTCCCTTAACATAAGGAACATCCAGATTTTCCTTTTACTGCAAATTTCATAACTTTTCTTTTCCCTTACAGGAAAATTCCATTGTGTATGTGTACCGCATTTTTATCAACCGTTTAATTCTCAACAGACATGTAGACTAGTTCCATATCCATGCTACTGTGCACTGAGTATCAGTAACATGGATGTAAACATGTCTCTCCAGTAGAGTAGTGAGCCATTCGGGTCTATATGCAGGAATGGTATAGCTGGGTTAGATGGCAATTCTATTTTCAAGTTTTGGGAAAACCTCATAGGGATTTCCATAGTGGCTGGGCTAGATTACACTCCCAGCAGCAGTGGATAAACTTCACTTCCCACATCTTTATCCACATTTATTGTCATCTGTCTTTTCGAGGATAGCTATTTTGACTGTGATGAGGTGAAGTCTCAAAATAGTTTTAATTTATATTTCCATAATGGCTCGGATTGAAAACTTTTAAAACTGCCCAATGATAATTTGACTTTCTTCCTTATTTTTTCTTCATATTATTATTATTATTATTTTACAATTTATTCACTTTGTAGCCCTCTCCCTCATGTCCTTTGATCCCACCCTTCTTCCCTCTACTTCCCCTATCCTTCTACCCTAGTTCACTGATTGGGGAAGTCCTCCTCCCCTACTGTCTGACCTAGCCTATCAGGTCTTATCAGGACTATTTGGATCCTCTTCCTTTGTGGACTGTTTAGGTCACCCCACCAGGGAGAGGTGATCAAGGAGCAGGCAGCTGAGTTCCTGTCATAGACTGTCTGTTCTCTCCTTCCTAGGGAACCCACATGGAGACTGAGCTGTCTATGTACTATCTGAGCGGGCATTCTAGGTCCTCACTATGCTTGGTCTTTGGTTGATGCATCAGTCTCTACAGTGCTTCCTGGGCCCAGCTTTATTTTGGCTTTGTTGGTCTCATTGCAGATCCCTTGTCCCTGCCGGGTCCTTCTATATCCCCCTTTTCCCACGAGACTCCCTGTGCTCTGTGCAAAGTTTGGCTGTGAGTCTCTGCATCTGCATTGATCTCCTGCTGGGTGGAGTCTTTTAGAAGTTATCTGTAATAGGCTCCTGTCCTGTTCCCTTTCTCTTCTACCACTTCCGGCATCTATCCTGTTTGTCATTATGAATGAGAATTAAAAATCTTCCCTAGGATTCTCCTTGTTTAGCTTCTTTAGGTCTGTAGACTTTAGTATGTTTATCCTATCATATAGGTCTAGTATCCACTTATAAGTGAGTATACACCGTGCATGTATTTCTGCTTCTGGGTTACCTCATTCAGGATAACCTTTTCTAGTTCCATCCATTTACCTGCAAATTTTAGGATTTCTTTGTTTTTAAAAGCTGAAACATAGTCCATTGTATAAATTTACAACAATTTCTGTATCCATTCTAGGATGTTTCCAGATTCTGGCTATTACGATTAAAGCTGCTATGAGCAAAGTTGAGTAAATGCCCCTTTTGTATGGTCGAGAATCTTTTGGATATATGCTCAGGAGTGGTATAGCTGGATCTTGAGGTACCGCTATTCCTAATTTTCTGAGAAAAGCACCAGAGTGATTCCCAAAATGATTGTACAAGTTTACATTCCCACCAGTAATGGAGGAGGGTTCCCCTTTCTCTACATCCTTTCCAGCATGTGTTGTCACTTGTGTTTTTTTATCTTAGCCTTTCAAGTTTCATATAGTTACACCTATTTTGATCCATCAGTACCTCCCTCAAACTCCTTCTAGGTCCCTCTACCCTGTTTCCTCTCCAACTTTGTATCTTTTTTTTTTTCACCGTCACAGTCGGTTTAGTGCTGCCTATATGTTTGTGGTTATGTGCCCACTGAGAAGCGTGTGAGAAATCTATCAATGGCACTCCTTTAAAGAAGAGTTACCAAAACTCAGCAGCTGAAAATGCAAACAGCTCCTCTGCCATGGGTGGGGCCTTAGAGAGTCTCCCTGGTCTGTGGAAGAATTTTGGCTGGATTGATCTTGTGCAGGTAACCACAGCTGCTGTGATTTTAAGTATTTAATAGCCATCATGTCCCAAAGTCAGCATTTCATTAAGGTCTGTTCCCTACAGACTGCCTCTTACATTCCTTCTTTCCCCTCTTCTAAGAAGTTTCTTGAGCATTCTATGCTGGGAGGTTGACACAGGTGGTCCATGTACAACTAAACCCTCATTGTTATTTATACTTGGCACTTTGATGCGGCTGAGTCTCTGTTTTTATCCACTGCAAAAGAAGCTTCCCAGATCCAAGTCGAGAGCTGCACAAATCTATAGCTAGACACATAAATATGTCAAGAGTGTAGCTTGACAGCATGGTCATTTAACAAAACAGCAGTTGGTTTCTCACAGTGTTATCTTCAGAGTCGTGGGTTTTATGCCAGGGTTATGTAACAGGCATGAAAGCCTCATATTCAATCAGAAAGTGGCTGGTTAGCTCCATAAATACCATGCCGCGATTTCACCAGTAGGTATATCTTACCATCAAACTACTATTATTTCATTTGGAGTCCACTGCTGGGTATCAACATCAATATTTTTCTCCTCCAGCAGAAAGTGGCATGTTTTGGCACTACGCAAGCTAGTGAGCAGACAAGAGGTTCCCGGACAGTTTAAGGTTGATTCCTCTGTCTTGCACCCAAAATGAACGGTATCTTCAGCAATGGGATGTCACCATCTAGTTATAATGGCCAACCAAGAGCAGTGACAAGAGCCTGCTTCATTTTGCGTGTCCCTGTGGACTTCACAGCCAGTAACATATAAGAGGCATTTCATGCATGTCACTAAAATCTTCATTCAAATACCTATTCTCTTCTTGGGGTCCAAACATCGAGGGTATTTCTGATCAAATTCCCTTAAAATTACATACACACACATAATGTAAGTATTATGTATATATGTATGTATGTATGAATTTATGTATATATTCTACACACTGCTGGACTTCAAAAAAGCTTCTTCATATATCCTAAGCTTGGCTAACCTCAATCTAACCCTTTCCCATTCTCCCAATCTCCATATTCCACTCAAAGCTTTAATTATTGAAAATCTTTGCCAGATATACATCTAATATAAAATTAATCTTTAGCACTTACCAAAAACTAAAAGTAAAAAGAAAAAGTTCACAAAAACAAACACCCCAACTAAAAATCAGCCATGAAACAAACAAAATAACAACAAAGAACAGTTTTCAAAGCATGAAACACAAAAGCTGGTAAACATTTTAAAAAGTATACAACATCCTTAACCATGACTGAAAGGCAGATTAAATGACCTTTGAGATTTCATCTTACCCTAAGCAAAATGACCAAGATTAGAAATACAACCAACAACAAATGATGGTGTGGGTGTGGGAAAAACAGACTCCTCATTCCTTTTAGTTCAAACACAGTGGAAATCAGTCTGGAGGTTTCTAAAGAAAGAGAGAGAGAGAGAGAGAGAGAGAGAGAGAGAGAGAGAGAGATTGTGTCCTAGCAATATCACTCCTACGTATATACCCAAAGGTTTTGTATCCTACTGCAAGGATGCTTGTACATCGATGGTCATAATGGTTCAATTCAAAATAGCTGAGAACTACAGTCAATCAAGAGATCAATCAACAAATGAATGGATTTTTAAAAGAACACAATACATGAACAGTATGGAAT